AGCGATGTCGTGAACCCGGCGTTGATGGTAGTGGGTTGCGGGATCGGTTCAGCGCCGAAGGTGGTGGTGCAGCGGTCGACGGTTGCAGGTTTGGCCGGCAGCTCTATCCCGACGCCCCCGTTGCCGGTGTCGATCTTCCAAGGCTTTTGAAACATACCGACGTGTTTCGGGGCCGGTTCCGCGTCGAAGGTGGTGGTGCGATCGGCGGTTGCTGGTTTGGCCGGCAGCTCTGTCTCCACGGTCCCGTTGTCGTTGACGATGTTCGACATCATTTCAAACACACCGACGGGACTGACGGTAGAAGGTATAGGTTGTACACCTTCGACGGTCTTCTTCGATGGCTGTTTCATCCACTCGTCAATACACGTTTGCTGTGGTTCGCTCAGCACCAACTTCCTCTTTGCCTTTGAATCTCCCTTTTTCTTGTGACTCTTCTTCGGGTTCTTCTGCGGAGGTTCGTACGATGCCATCGTTTCGTCTTCAGTCCGCGGTCTTCAGCTCTTGTCAAAAGCGAAAATGACCACGAGTCACAGACCTCTAGGTTTTATACAAGTTTCTGGCTCCGCCTATCTACTCAATTCCATCCAATCACCTGTGCGCTACATCGTGACGTACCGGTCAAACACAGCTGCAGTCTAGAAATAACCCTTTGTAACATTTTTTCACCTAATGTTTGTCGTCTCCACGACACCACTACGGAAGTTGTACAAGGGTAACGGGAGCCTTGTTCAAAACGTTTTATCAGTAAAGGTCACTTTTTTCCACAGGATGCCAACAAACGTTACCATCACAAACTCACACAAGGAAACACACAGACAGAAAAAAATTCCAAACAATGAAACTTTTATTCATGAAAAATCGACAATCACAGTTTACCCAACAGAGTACCGTGAACAGAGTTCTTTTTTTCTTTTTTTAATCTCGATCAAGACTTTCTCTTACCGATCCGTGAACGAAGTCGTAATCACAGTTCACACTGCAGAACACTATTCACGGAGTTCCTTCTCAATCATGTCACGGATCCAGCGATGAACATGTCCGGACTTGTCTCCCTCTTCTTCTTCTTCTTTGTGTTCTTCTTCACCAGCCCCCTCCTCCTCCTCTTTCTTCTCCATCTTCCTCTCCTCCTTCCCTCCTCCTTGCCGTCTGCTTCGATGGAGCGATGCATTTCTTGACACCACTTCTCGTACTTCTGCCGCATCGACTCTACCGACGGAACCTGATCCAGCTCACAGAGATATGCAGTGAGGCCGAAGAAGTCGCTGTACATTTTCCTGAACGACATGCTCGCCAGAGTGCGTCGACCGTATTCCTTCATATCCTCCACGTCCAGGAATAGGCAGTGATGGCGTCGTTGACTGGGATGATCGACTTGACATCCGTCACAGTCGGCAATCATGAACTTGTGAAACATCTGCTCATACCGGTGTCCGCATACTTCTAGGAACACGTTACCGAGGGTCTGCTCATCTAGAGGCAGGTCGGGCACGTTGACGTTACCACCAGAGGCCATCATGTTGCAGGATCTCGATCAGACTGTCTTTTCCAGTGCTGTGTGTCAGTCTGTGTTCTTCAGCTCTTGTCAAAGGCGAAAATGACCACGAGTCGCACACCTCAAGGTTCTGTACAAGTTTCTGGCTCCGCCTATCTACTCAATTCCGTCCAATCACCTGTGCGCTACACCGTGACGTACCGGTCAAACACAGCTGCAGTCTAGAAATAACCCTTTGTAACATTTTTCACCTAATGTTTGTCGTCTCCACGACACCGCTACAGAAGTTGTCAAGGGTAACGGGAATCGTGTTCAAAACGATTCTATCGCTATATGTTAATGACTCCTTGGATCACCTGCCAGTGGACTGTAGACTGACGTCACCATACCGTCCAGAAATAACCTTGTGTGACATTTTTTAGTCTATGTGTAACGTCTCCACGACATCACTACAAAAGTCGTCAAGGGTAACAAGAACCTTACCCCAAAGAGTTTTTCGGTAAAGGTCAGAACTGCATCTCATTATAAAACATCTTTTCTGAGCAAAAATCAAGCATATGCCAGTTATGAATACATTAATCCAGTTATGACTACATTTGCATAAAATTTGCATACATTATCGTTGAACTTGAACTGTATACATTTGCATACATTTGCAAAAAATTTGCATAAATTATCGTTGAACTTGAACTGTATACATTTGCATATCATTAACCTTGAACTTGACCTTGACCTTGCCCTTGATGTTGACCGCTGCATAAATGCATAAATTGGTCCAGACAACCCTGTATTCTACTTGTATGA